ACAGATAGATTTTCCCCTCTGATGTTATTAAGTTGTTTTTCGGTAGATTACGTCTGTCATTTTGATTATCATCATGTGTTATCTTCCCAATCAAACGTAGTTATTCTTGTAAACATATCAACTGGGAGATAAGTCGACTTAGCTGCTAGCTACGCATATTGATCCAGATTTGTAAACGTAATATTGAAAGTTTGTTTCAAGAAACTAATCAATATACATCATGGATATGCATTATAGATTAAAGAATAAAAGCTAGTAATTTGATACAAATTTTACAAATATCCAGGTTTCATGTATTTTACTCTATATTTCTTATAAATTTCAATAAACGACTCAATACAACAGTGGCGGATTCAGGGCTGCTGTCAGGGCTAAAAGAGAGGGAAGCAATGTACTCAAAAACAAGCTAATTTTTGATTTAAATTGCATGCATCAGCATCTATTTGTCCAGCATGCCTAAGTACTACATGTCAAGCACCAATGGCCCTACCCACATTTTTTCTCTGGATTGACCCCTATGTAACATCTTTGATTATATAAATTTCTGAAATTTCCAAAAAATTATAATTAATACTAATTCTGACTAAAGATTTAAAATAAACTATCAACTTAATTTATTATCATCCATAACAAAATTACTATCATTTTATTTACCTAATGTTCATTTCAAATTACTCAGAGGAGAAAACTGACTTATCTCCAGTATTTATACCATACTGTACCTTGATTATAAAAACTGTGTTCTAATTAAAATCCAAAAGATACAAGCTTGGCATTAAATTTGTTTGTAGAAAATAGGAAGAACATAATTTAAATTGTTATTGTCATTATTTGAATAATCTGTTCTCGTTATTAATATACCGACCTTAGTACCAACATGACCCAGATTTTACGTGTTCATATCATTCAGCAATCAATGCTTCTCATATATGAATTTAACATTCAATAAATCCATTTTCTCAAAATTTCAATCAATTTCCATAACTACTTTTAGATGTTACTTTACCGAATTGGTTCAGCTATGTTTTTGGCGACATCTTTCCGTATAAAATTTCAAAATAGTTATACATCGAGCAATGGGTTAATAATTGCGGGACGGATATGAGAATTTACCGAAGGAAATTTTACAGAATGTAATTTGTATTCAACTCGTCGTGGTTCATAAATGATACATTTGATGTAAAATTAAGACCGACTTTTTCTCGACACAAATACGTTTGAAGTATAAACAAGGAATTTCAGAGTAACATTATCGTATTTTGTATTAATTGATTGATTGCACATAAATGCATTACTGATTCATTAAGGACAAAATGTTGCCAACATTACTTTCAAGGTCATCTATACTCCATGGCTTTTTTTTCTTAAAGATCATTTGTGGCAAAGAAAAGTCAAACCAGTCTCTCTTCGCAAAAATCTATTTTCAGTTATTAATACAGTGTTAGAGAGTAAAATAATAGCTATAAAATGGTAAAAAAAATCATTAAAATCGGACATTTCCTTATGAAGTTACAAGCGTTTAATCACACAGCTGTTTAACGAACAATATATGAGAAATCAGCCTTCAAAGTTTATGATTTCAGGAATTTCTCATGCAGAAACTATCTTTAAATCCTTAAAAAGTGTTGTTTTTAACATTGAAAATGGGGAAAATAACAGCATAGAATGATGTATAGATATATAAAGGTTAGTTTAGTGCAATAAACAGATTTTTTAAAATTTGACATTCCAGCATGTTTTGGTCATTTTCTCTGTAACACGATTTGCGACGAGTGACTGGTTTGGCTTGTCTTTGCCACATTTGTTTTTGTAATAACCCAACTTTAACCCAACGTTAAGGCGCGATCTACAAATTATCCCCAACGACAGAAACGGGTTAAACACGTTTACTATTGTTATATGACAAGCTCCCAAACGCGTCTGTGAAATGCCGTTTGGAAGCTTGTCGTTCGAGCCGTTTATTCCGTTTGGAAGTTAACTCCTCCCCTTTTCATATGGCTGACTGCTCGTGAATGGCAAAATGTTAAACGCGTTCAGCGAAATTTGGAATTTGATCGTGATTTAAACAACTTCAAAACTTGTTCAGTGTCCCTACCGTACCTAGGCTATGTAGGCCTAGGCCTATATTTATAATAGTAGTAGCCTGGTAGTAAAATGCTAGCGTACGCTAAGTGACAGTTTACGAAGAAATGTTTATAATAAAGGCCTAAATTTAATTATTTTTCTTGTTGGGGAAACCCCAATGTTTCTTGTATTTTAGTAGGCTAAGCCCTACCGTTACCTGTAGGTTTTATAGAAGACATCTGATGTGTATAAGAGACAGGATTATATTGTGCGATGTTCGAATTGACCTATCAAAACAAGTACCTTTTGCCCAACTTTTTAATTCCCACATAAATGCCTGCACAGCCCGCACAATACAGCATGCAAACACTGACTTGGATCAGCCGCAGTTTAAGAAGTTCGTTGTGGCGATCACGTGATATCGCACGTAGACCAACGTATGCTACGGTATTGTGTTTTGCTGTGTAGGCTATATGAATTTAATACATGTTTGTATTATTATATATATTATTGTGTTTTAAAAATAGTTAAACCATGGCACATGTTTATATTGGTGAACAAGGCAGTCGGCTATTCCCTTCTTGCGGAGCAGCAGCGTGTTTACATTCCTGAAGGCGGCGTTCAAAGAATCAGATCAGACACTAGAGCGTCTACATTCCTGAGTTGGCGGCGTTTAAAGAGAAGACTACTGTATGTGATTGACCTTGTGTCTGCTTCTCTCATGCTTCTCCTGTTCGTGGGAACCTACTTGTGTGAGAACGTTTCTCACTGAAGTCATTGTTACTAGACAATTTGCAGTAATGCAAATTGGTGGTATATGCCTATTTCAAACAGTTTATTTCCGTTCATGACAAAGTAAGAATATCGATACGAAACAAAATGAATTGATTATATTTCTAAACGGGACCGGTAGCGGCAGGATTTGGCAGACGGGGATACGATGTCTCCGACAAAAAGTCACGAGGCAAATATTAAAACAGTGTAAATATTTATTTCATTTCCTTCAACTCATATAACTTATATACCGGGATGGTGTCCGGCGGGGGATAGTTTTTACTATCATAGTTTAACTTTTATCTATCAGAATCTAGCCCCGAATCCTGGACTCATGTATTTAAAGCGGCCTGTAGCATGTGTATACAGCATATATTTATATGGCAAATGGCAAACGCGTTCAACAGCACAAACCCGTTTAGACGCGTCTGGGACATATTCCGACTAGCTTATTAATATTCATGAGGCACGATAATTAGACGATCGCTTTCCCAGACGCGTTTGTAATACATGGTTTTCCCAGACGCGTTTCTGTCGTTGAGAATAATTTGTAGATCGCGCCTTATTCTTATAACTTTTTATTTAATGTTATTTTCTGTTTGACCAGTTTATGTTCTAGAAGTAGTGAAGTCTCTCAGTGTTTCAAGGGCCTGGTCTACTTGGCTAGTTTAGTTTTAATAGCCTGGTCTACCATTAGGGCATTGGCAAATTCTTACACTGATATATCATCTTTAAATTCCAAGTTTAATATGCAATAAAAATATAAACTATTATTTCTATTAAAAGTAATTCACTGTAGTGTTGTACTGTACAGTACTGTATTTACCACATCAAGCTTAACACATGTTCATCGTGACAAATTAAAACATAACATGATATATTAAATTTTCAAAATACATATTAAGCAATTATCCAAGGAAGCTGTGTTGAATGAAATCCACAATCTAGGTACCTGAGAAGGTAAAAACTACTGTAAAAATGAATTTGTGTAGATCACACAGGCTGAAAAACATTGGTTCCTACCCTAGCTTTATAGGCCTGTGGCCTAGACCGAACAAGTTGTCTTTTATGATTTTTATTATTCAAAGTTATTGAATAATACAACATTCACAACATCCATACAACATTCACAATATGAAAGATGATTATGTAGTGTATAAGTATAAGGTTATTACTACATAATAGATGTATTGTAAAACATGGAATTCCAGCAAATAGAAAAAAAATGGTCCATGTTTGCATGATTGTCTACATTTTTTAGTAAGTCTTAAGAAGCTAGTTAGGGCTTAGTTTTTACTTTAGAATGTATTACAAGTTTATCAATTATTAAATTTTGGCGCGTGTTAAAAAAATGTAAATTTTGCACCCTGTTCGTATACAGTGTTCATGTTTAAATTTTGTAGAAATTAATTGCAGTGCCTGGTTATTCATAAGAAAGGTCTTGATTTCAAATATTATTTTTTACCTGGGAGCTGACATCCCCCTCCCCCTCCCAGACCTACGCCCATCGAGTGTCGCTACGCGATAAATACTTATACTTCACATTTAGTTTTGACTCCTAAATTAAAATTTTGGCTAAACCACTGTGCGAGAGATACTTTGTTTGTCATACAACTGAAAAAAAAAACTTGTTGATGAGCTGTGCCAATACAATTATTTCAATATGTTCTTATTTGAGCACTGTCATTATTTTTAGATATTTGTTTACATTGTTTACGGTGCTACACAGCAACTTCATTTGAATTTTATCCACTAGGTTTTCCTATGCATTCTATAAGCTTTTCTAGCTTAGCCACAGCTCCCTGGGGGTTTAGAACTGCAAGATATCCCAAAGGTCTCTGATACTCGCCTTGACAGCTAGAGGTTGGAGGTTCGAATCCCACTAGAGAGTTTCTTCAATACAACTGAAATGAAGGAACTTGTTGATGATGAGCTACTGTATGCTTGATGCAATTATTATCAGTTGGCTACTTTTTAGAAGCGACTATAAACTCTGCTGTTTGAGTGCCATTGAACATATCATATGGATACTCAACGTTATAAGTTTTGTGATTGATTGATTGATTGATTAACTAACTACGCCGGTGTTTAACAACAAAAAAATGTACACATAATAACCTAAAGCATATAAAAATTGATTTGTATTAACTTTTTCAGCTAAGATGGGTCATGCTGCTTCTTCCCCTGAGCATGTTCAAGGTAATTTGAGATTTTTCATGCCACCACGATTATTGCTTCTTCACTCACCTTATAAATCTGTTAGGAAAACTAGTAAACGTATGCTTACATTGTTTTCAGTGAGTCTACACACTGAGCATTCACACACTCACTCACACTCTATATTCTTTGTATTTTATGTATTATTAATTGTTAGCAAACACATGATTATTAATTTACAGTATGACGCTAATAATACTCTCCTAGTTCAACCATGGAGGAAATATATTACCTCCATGGTTCAACCATGGTAGTAGATAAGCTCTTATACAGTACAGTATGTTGATAGTTAGACGTAGGCCTAAAAGTATTTTACTTAACTATCACTATCTGTTGATACACCATGCAGTTGGTACAGGAGCATCATGCTCACAAACTTTACTCTGTTTACATTTTGGACAAAATCGATTGGGATTGTCAACAAAAAAAGGCCTATTATAATTCATTGCATACGTTGATTGTTTTGCCGTAGGGGAACTCTCCTAAGAAAATGAGTACACTTTGTTGCAATAATTGTAATGCTTGCTATACATACACAATTCTACATTCTACAAAATTATATAATATAGTAAAGATATTGATGTTTTGAATTTTTATTTGGTCCAAAGGAATGACAGATTCGCAATTCAATGCACTTAAAATGGAAGTCGCAATGTGGTATGACAACCACAAATGTCTTACTATGTTGAAAGTGTTGTTCAGAGATCATGTGGTCAATGAGAGACTATCAAAAATAGATAAGACAGCGGACTTGCTGAATGATTTAGTTAAACATGGTCATTTGAATTCCAAGAATCTTACAATTCTGCATGATACCATCAGCATAACTGAACATTTTGGTCTTCAACATAAGATTAAAGTATTACTACCGTCCTCTTCGTCATTCGCGGATGTTAAGGAAGGAAACATTTCCAAACAATTCAGTCATCACAGACAAAAACTAATGAAGTTTGGAATGAACCTGACTCCAGACAATGTAACAAAAATTGATGGATTGCTGAACACGCCCTATAAGGAGTATACCGATGGCTGGAGTATGATCACTGATCTAGAAGACAGACAGATAATCAGAGAAAAGAATATGAAAGTATTCACTGATTCATTAAGAATCCTTGAAATCCATCCAGCATTGAATGCACTAGAAGATGGTAATCCTAGTTTTTTTTTTAAAGAAAACAAGTTGTCATGTGGCCCATTTCATTTTTTTTGTTTAGGCCTACATTCTTTACATTTCATTTTCATCTTAACTTTTTTTTCAATTCCACCATAACTTTTTTCTTTTCTTTCTTTTAATTTCATTTTCTTTCTTTTTATTTTCTTGTCATTTTCCTTCTTTTCATCTTTTCTATTCCCTTTATTTCATTGTTTTTGTCATTTTCATGAGACACACTTAACAGGGTAAACTCAAAATTTAGGTACAGTTACTAATTTGTGAATTCCTTTCTCTTCATTCCATAATATATAATATATAGATTTTATATTTAATAGTAATATCAAAAACCTGTCTCTTATACACATCTAGATGTGTATAAGAGACAGGCATATAATAATGTATTTGTTTTAACTTTTCAGCTATTGCTGTTTCTTCCCCTGAGCATGTCTTAATTCAAGGTAATTTGAGATTCTTCATGCCACCACCATTATTGTTTCTTCACTCACCTTATAAATCTGTTGGGAAAACTAGTAAACGTATGCTTACATTGTTTTCAGTGAGTCTACACACTGAACATTCACACACTCACTCACACTCTATATTCTTTGTATTTTATGTATTATTAATTGTTAGCAAACATTTGTGAATTCCTTTCTCTTCATTCCATAATATATAATATATAGATTTTATATTTAATAGTAATATCAACAACAATGATCACATTTAACATATTAAGTTACTTAAAAGTACAAATTAGGCAATGCAAATTTATAACTTCGTTTTTCATTTTTTATGATGGTGACAGCATTTTCTTTTCTATCTACAAACTAAAAGCCCTGCTGTTTGAGCGCCATTGAACATATAATATGGTTAATTGGGGCTATACAAGTTTTGTGATTGATTGATTGATTGATTGAATACGTCGGGTATTTAACTAAAGAAAAATGCACACATAATATACCTAAAGCATATAATAATGTATTTGTTTTAACTTTTCAGCTATTGCTGTTTCTTCCCCTGAGCATGTCTTAATTCAAAGTAATTTGAGATTCTTCATGCCACCACCATTATTGTTTCTTCACTCACCTTATAAATCTCTTTAGAAAACTAGTAAACGTATGCTTACATTGTTTTCAATGAGTCTACACACTGAACACTTACACACTCATTCACACTCTATATTCTTTGTGTTTTATGTATTATTAATTGTTAGCAAACACATTACTATGAATTGAATTAACAGTATAAATCTGTTAGGAAAACTAGTAAACGTATGCTTACATTGTTTTCAGTGTGTCTACACACTGAACATTCACACTCACACACTCAATCACACTGTATATTCTTTGTGTTTTATGTATTATTATTTGTTAGCAAACACATTACTATGAATTGAATTAACAGTATAAATCTGTTAGGAAAACTAGTAAACGTATGCTTACGTTGTTTTCAGTGTGTCTACACACTGAACATTCACACTCACACACTCATTCACACTGTATATTCTTTGTGTTTTATGTATTATTATTTGTTAGCAAACACATTACTATGAATTGAATTAACAGTATAAATCTGTTAGGAAAAATAGTAAACGTATGCTTACATTGTTTTCAGTGAGTCTACACACTTCACACTCACACACTCATTCATACTCTATATTCTTTGTACTTCATGTGTTATTAATTGTTAGCAAGCACATGATTTATGAATTGAATTAACAGTATAATGCTAATAATGCTGTCCTAATTCAACCATGGAGGAAATATATTACCTCCATGGTTGAAGGTAGTAGATTGAGCTCCTAATTCCAATACAGTACTCAATTATGTTAATAGTTAGACGTAGGCCTAAAAGTATTTTACTTAACTATCACATGCTTCTGTTGATACACTAAACACAGTTGGTCCAAGTGCATCATGCGCACAAACTTTACTCTATTTACATTTTAGAAAAATCGATTTGGATTGTCAACACAAAAAGGGCCTATTATAACGCATTGCATTATGTTGGTTGTTTTGCCGTAGGGCAGGGTGGGCATAAAAATTGGTCAGAGGGCCAAAGTAAACTTTGAGGGCCACACCCAAATTTTGATGGCTTCGGTGTGCTTCCAAAACCATCATGACTGCTTTTATACCACCTTATTCTCAGTTTTAATATTACTTTGTACTTTGATCGGTGTTGGGCCGTAAAAAGCAAGGTGTTTTCTAGCCAAAGAGGGTTGGCGGGCCGCACACAGGGTATTTAATTTGTTTTCGCGGGCTGCAAAAAAGAAAAAACCATTGTCGGGCATCATGCAGCCAGCGGGCCACACTTTGCCCACCTATGCTGTAAGGAAACTCTCTTATGAAAGTGAGTACACTTTGTGGCAATAATAGTAATGCTTGCTATCCATACACAATTCTACATCTACAAAATTATACAATATGGTAAAGATATTGATGTGTTGAATTTTTATTTAATCCAAAGGAATGACAGATACACAATTCAATGCACTTAAAATGGATGTCGCAGTGTGGTATGACAACCACAAATGTCTTACTATGTTGAAAGTGTTGTTCAGAGATCATGTGGCCAATGAGAGACTATCAAAAATAGATAAGACAGTGGACTTGCTGAATGATTTAGTTAAACATGGTCATTTGAATTCAGAAAATCTTACTATTCTGCATGATACCATCAGCATAACTAAACACAAGAGTATTAAAGTATTACTACCGTCATTCCCGGATGTTAAGGAAGGAACCATTTCAAAACAATTCAGTCATCACAGACAAAAACTAATGAAGTTTGGAATGAACCTGACTCCAGACAATGTGACACAAATTGATGGATTCCTTAATACACCTTGTAATGAGTATTCCGACCGCTGGAGTATGATCACTGATCTAGAAGACCGACAGATAATCAACGAAAAGAATATGAAAGAATTCAGCGATTCATTGAAAAGCCTTGAAGTCCATCCAGCATTGAATGCACTACAATATGGTAATCGTCATTTTTTAAAAAGAAAACTAGTTGTCACGTGGGCCATTTCTTTTTTTTTGTTTTTTTTTGTTTAGGTCTACATTCTTTACATTTCATTTTCATCTAAACATTTTTTTTTCAATTCCACCATAACTTTTTTTTCTTTTCTTTCTTTTCACTTCATTTTCTTTCTTTTTATTTTATTGTCATTTTCCTTCTTTTCATCTTTTCTATCCCCTTTATTTCAATGTTTTTGTCATTTTCATGAGACATACTTAACAGCGTAAACTCAAAATTTAGGTATAGTTACTAATTTGTGAATTCCTTTCTCTTCATTCCATAATATATAATATATAGATTTTATATTTAATAGTAATATCAAAAACAATGATCACATGTAACATATTAACTTACTTAGTACAAATTAGGCAATGCAAATTTAGAACTTCGTTTTTCATTTTCAATTTTTTCAAAAATGAACTTCTCTTATAGAGTGTGAACTTTTTGGGTTATCCTTAAAGGCTGGCTAAAATTCAGGGCCTTTTAAATATTAAAAATTATATAATGATTATAAATGTCATTTATAAGACTTTGTATGATGTGCTATTACAGTATGTAAAGTTACTTTTAATGTTCAATGAGTTAAACAATTTTGTTATGTACATAATTTTTGTTTTGTTTTTGTTTGTATAGTTCTTTTTAAATCATTTAATGTTTTACTTTGTATAATAGCAATGTAATTTCTTTTGGATAAATAAATATTCCTTTGANNNCTGTTTCAGATGCTGTCTCTTATACACATCTAGATGTGTATAAGAGACAGTATATATATGGAGCCCTCAAAATATTATTTCGTTTTTTTTTAAATAATTTAATATTTTTTAACCATGTCTGGGGCTCTGCACAATTTAGGTATGAATCTGGAAATAATATCTAGAAAAATACAGAAGAACTGGAAGAAAATTGGAGCACTCTTAGGGTTTGGAGAGGAAGAGCTCAATGTTATTAAGTGGACATTCTTCGACAAGGCCAGCCTTGAGATGCTAAGGAGGTTGATGGTCAAGATGGATGTTTATGAATTTGAATCCATCATTGTTGCACTGGAATTATCGAAAGGTATAAAACTTTCTAATTCTGAAGTTGAAAGTATTGAAAACTAGTTGAGTTGGCTCCTGTGCTCCTCTTCTAAACCTGAATTAGTGACAGGTGGTACCAGGATTTGCTGGACAGAGGGACAGGGCTCCCGACATCCATGGTGAGAGTAATGTGTGTGGGCATGGCCAGACATCGTTTAAAATTTTTTGGTCCAGGGGGTGAAGCCCCTTAAAATATGAAAATTTTGGGGTTCAAAGGGTTATTTAATAAATTATATAGTCTATTAATATGTAACAGGCATGAGCGAACCCACTTGCCCGACGCTCTGGACAAGTGTTTTTTACGGTCGGACAATTTTAGGGACCACTTGTCCGTGGACAAGCACTTTTAGAATAGGCTACTTAACCAAGTAATGCGTAATGATTTCACAGTATTTATAAAAAGTCTGACTCTTCACAATACGTTGCATATTTTATTAACAAATTGTCGGTGCACAAAGAGATATCAAACATTAAAAAAAACGTCTATGCCTAGGCCATGGTTACGCACCGCACTGCGGAGTGATGGAGATAATGTGCATATCAAATTCTAATCTTGTAAATTCCCTAATTTAAAATGACAGATCTCAAAATATTGGGTGTAATTTTTCTACCTAGAAAAGGAAATTCCTGCAGAAATATTGGCTAGAGGGCCTGATGCATTGAAAGTTTATCAAGCAGCCTTAGAAGAGGGAGAGAGTGATTTCAATCTGGTTAGACTCATGGTAATGGGCCAAGAAAATGTGGGCAAGACCTGTCTGATCAATTCCTTATTAGGGAAGGAGTAAGTAGATGTGTACAATAGTGGATATTATTAAAGTGAAGATAGTATAGTACATACTCTAAGTATCGAAATGCACGCCTTCGTGTCGGGATTCAATATTTTGACAACAATTATGTCATATTCAATGAATGAATAAAGTAAGTTTCAGACATTTAAAATACAAAATAAAGAATTGATTGAGACTCTGGATGCCTTATTCTAATGGCCATTTTTGATTATTTAGAGTATATCTGGCTTCACACTATATTTTATTTGTAGACAGTGTCAAACAAGCATACAGTATGTTGAATAAAATATGTGAGGAATCACCATAATATAATTGCTAATTGTTAACTGGATTGAATTGCTTAAATTTTATGAACATATGTTATTGTGTGAAAAGAGTAAGTTGATTACTTTGAAGGTAAGTAAAAATGATTTATTTATACTGTATAAATGTTTTGAAGAGGCATTAAAATAATTGGGTCCTGGGATTAAAACTTGTGTAACTGTTGCTTTCAAAACCAAGTCTCTAAAGGCAGGCTTATGGTTTATGGTTTTATATTTATATAGCGCCTTCCACGATCGAAACCGTCTCAAGGCGCTTGAAAAATATATGTGAATAATGTATGGAAATAAATTTGACCGGAAATAACCTAAACTAACCAAACAGAATAACCGTCAAAACAGATAAAAAATAGAATCTCACCATTTCACTGACCGACCACTGACTGATTATTCTAGTCTGGTAGTTCTGCTGTACATCGGCTGACAAATACATTTTTTGATGATCCTGGTTTGTCAATTTTAATTTGCTTTTGGTTATTTTTATATATTCTATAATTTTATTGACCTGAATAATTTAATAATAGTCTGGCATTTTATTTAAAAATAATTATAATAATTTTAAAATAATTCTGTATTAATTATAAATTAAACGTTTTGGAAATTATTTCTATTGTATTATGTATTAATTTCTGTTACTTTTATTGTAACAATTAATGATTCTATTTTTGTAAGGCTTTAAGATATTAGGTGGTGTTTGTCATTGTGAAGCACCTTGATTATTTTGGTCTTGGTCTGCGAAGAGTGACGTGAACGAACATGTTTTACCGTACGCTCTGATATAGGCCTTTCAAAGTCTCCAAACCCCTAACCAGGCAGGGTAGGACAACTAGAAGAGCCTGATAACAACCAGACGGTTAAGTTGATGTAATCCTTTTTTAACAATTAGAGTATTATTTGTGTTATATTCAACCATGGATAGCAAGATAGAGGCATTGCAAAACGTTACATTATGGGCGATGTAGAAAGAAATATGCGTGTTCAGGAATGCCAGGTGGCAGAGGCTGTTGATCTCGCTGTTAAAAAAGACGGACAAGGCGCCAAAAAAGATAACACCGAAAGATATTAGTGGAGTGCAGTTATTGAATTCTCACCCAAACCCATATTGGATAGTCAATACTGCTACAAAACCAACTAAAGGACGTATTTTAGCTGCTGACAGGGTTGTTCTCGGAGGTAAGAGCTATAAACTTTTCCGATTTTTGTGAACTGAAAAAAACTGCTAGAAAGAACAACATCAGATTAAACATTCGCGGCATTCCGCAAAATGTCGAAGACAAAGAGATTGCTAGTTGGGTGAATACATTCGCTAAAATGGATAGCAAGATAGTTCGACATCGTGCTAGAAATAAAAATCCAGATTTGATCATTTACACATTTATTGCGAATCCTTTTCGTCCATCTGAACTGATAGAGATAGGAGTTACATTATTTTATCAAGGGCAGCCTGAAACCCATTGCAGATATTGTAAAACAGAGGTGCATGCGATTGAAGAATGTCCAAAAATAACCCACCATGAAATGCTAGCTTTATTTGTAGTCATACTGGTCACCAAAAAATGAACTGTCCTAATATTAAGACAACGGCCCTCGCTGTTTCAGATGTGATCAATATGGTCATCGCAAAAATGAAAGTCAGTCAAAGCTGAATACAGCTATATTGCACTTGGAAGAGAAAGGCAAGGCAAGGGTTGTTGAAACTGTGATTTCGCAACAGACGATACCAGAAATGTTCTTAAATAAAGCTGACAAAACTATGAGCAAAAAAATCGATAGGTGTGCACGAGTACACAACATAGCAACAATAACACTATTAAGTGAACCAATTCATATAGATAGTGAAGATGACTGCAATATGTTATCCGACTGCATGCAGTGGCAATGATGAGAAGGAAGGAAGCAGGCAGCAGTCTGTGCATAGCGACAATGGTAATGATAGACCCAAGCAGAAGCAGACATCTACTGACAAGAGAAGTCTAAGGAAAAATACTGTAAAAAATAATGGTAAAAGTAATGAAAAGAAGTGTAGGAGTTGAACATTTAAAAACTAAAAAAAATGTCCCATGATCTCCCTTACCACCCTTAATGTTAGAGGGCTTTGATATTGTATTCCTCAGGAAGCTTACTGCAGTGACAAAGACATGGATTAATGGGGTAGTGGTGTTTTATCCAATGACCGGGGCAGTAATGTGAAGCGCTTAGAGGCTTTATTAAGGCATTAAGCGGTATATAAGAACGACATATTATTATTATTATTAATATTATTATTATTATTATTATTATTATTATTGTTATTATTATTATTATTATTATTATTAAAGAATGTCAAGGATGCTTTTTTGGGTCTTATGGTTCAAACCATAGCTGTGGCATTATGATTGGTCTTTAAAAAAAAATTCAACAGATGTATTATGGAAAAAGATATACGATGACAACATGGGTAGAGTTATTTGTGTACGTATTATTATTAATGATCTAACATATTATTTGTGGAATATCTATGCGCCAAACAATAATATCGAACATAATGAGTTCTTTGAAAATATTTCCAAAATTATACTTAAACATTCCAGAGATGGTCAGATTATAATAAGTGGTGACATGAATACTGTGTAAAATAATTCGTTAGATAAAATTGGTGGAAGTAATAAAATTTCCCCCTATGTAAAAAAATTAAATATGCTACTTGAAGAATTTGAACACACTGATATCTGCAGACTAAAACATAAGGCCGAAAAAAGATTCACTTGGAAACAAAATAACCCCTTAATTTATTGTACCTTAGATTATTGGTTCGTACTGGCAGATATTGAAAAATATTTTAAAGTCTGTTACAATTCTGACCGTGCCAAGAACAGATCATCTGGCATGAAATCTAAATATTATATATTGCATGAAAATGATAGAGGTAAAGGTTATTGGAAAATAAATAATGATTTACTTAAAGATGATACATACTGCAACGGGGTTAATGAATTAATTGATAGCTGTATTATAAACTTTAAGGAACTTTTGTCAGCTGCCGAATTATGGGTACTCTGTAAAAATAAAACATGTAGATTTGGCATTGATTATACAAAAACTCACAAAACATTAAATAAATCAAATTTAAGCAAGCTAGAAAAGAAAGTACAAACAGCATATAAAGAACTAATAAAATCCCCAAATAATGCCTACCTTAAACGTCAATACAACACTGTAAAACTGGAGTATGAAACACTTTACGAGCATGTTGTTAGAGGTATTCAAATCCAATAACGTGAGAGATGGATCGAAGAAGGTGGAAAAACATCAAAATACTTACTTAACTTTGAAAAAATAAAAAGCACAAAGAAAACTATCACATGTTTATAGGATGCATTGAATAGAGAAATTACAGACAACTCGGAAATTTTAGACGTGCAGGTCAACTTTTGTTTCCAATTTATATAAATCTCAAAATGGTAACTGTACCAAAAATATAGGCATTTCTTGATGAAATTATTTTACCAAAATTAACTGAAAAAAGATAAAAATATATGCAAGGGCTTAATTAGTTATGAAGAATGTTTAAAAGTGCTAAAAACTATCAAAAATAATAAAAGTCCTGGATATGATGGCCTTTCACCTGAATTCTACAAACGGTTTTGGGAAAAAGTAGGTCAACTTTTAGTGAATGCATTTAATAAATCTTATGAATTCAGTGAACTAACTAATTTTCAAAATAAAGGCGTTATAACACTAGTACATAAGGGCAAAGGGTTACCTCACCATTCGCTTGATAATTTGCATCCCATCAGCCTTTTAAACATAGATTACAAAATTCTAACCAAATGTTTAGTGGCAAGACTTAAACAAGTACTTTCATTATTGGTTATTAAAATGGATTGTTAAAGGAAGAAGTATACACAACAATATAAGATTAATTGAAGATACTCTACGATATACCCAAGAAAAGGAGTTACCGGGAATAAGGCTATGTGTTGACTTTAAAAAGACATTCGACTCAATTGAGAGAGGACATTTATTTGAGGTTCTTAAAAGACTAGAGCCTGGTTCTCACGAGAGACCTAGTATACGGATCGGGAGCTAACCCTTAGCGCTAACCATTAGCACCTGCGTGAGAACGCCCGATTGGTTAGCGCTAACCGTTAGCGGTATCCAGATACCGCTAACGGTTAGCAAGATCCGGATCCTCGTTAGCAGCCGTGTGAGAACATAGCCTAGACTTTGGAAAATTTTTTCTTCAATGGTGCTCTACAATATTAAGTAACTGTAATAATTGTATAATTAATAATGGACACATGTCTAAATTTTTTAATGTTGAAAGAGGAGTCCGACAATGATGTCCAATCTCTGCCTTTCTTTTTGTACTCGTTGTAGAACAGCTTGCATGTAAGATAGGCAGTTGGACCGTATTAAAAGTATCAAACTTCCTTTAAAAGTGTACGACAGAAATTAGGTAAAAATCTCTTGTTTTGCCGATGAAACTACAATCTGTACAAACTCAATTGATTCTTTTAACGCTGCTATCAACACTTTAAAAAATTTCTCTAAAATTTCAGGCCTAAAAGTAAACAGTAAAAAAAGTGAAGCAATATGGTTCACTGGCTGATGATAATTTATTGAAAATCGGAAACATCAAATGGAATGTTAAACCTGACAATTTTATTAGAATACTTGGCATACAATTCAGTCAAAGCTTACCGCTTGAGCAAAAAAAATGTAACTGGAAGAATATATGCAAAAAATTGAGTCTTCGATTAGAGCTTGGAAGGGCAGAAACCTGTCAATGATTGGCAGAAATATAATATTAAAGTCATTGTTAGTGTCTAAACTCGCCTATTGCATCAGCAATTGTCCTACCTGATGAATTCATTAAATGGTTAAACACAATCTTTTTCAAATTTATTTGGAATAGATCTGAGGGTGTTAAGAGCAGCAGAATAATTACTGATTATGAATTGGTTGGATTAAAAATGTTTCATCTTCGTTCCTTTTTAGACTCTATTAATCTATCGTAGATTAAGAAACTTAAAAATAATGAGACGGCCTTATGGAAAAACATGCGTTCTACAATCTTAACAAAACGTGTATGGGCCTTAACTTATTTAAATGTAACGCTTCATTAACAGATATTAATAAATACTGTCAGAATAAGATTAACCAAATGACAACTTTCTACACCAATTTAACCCGAACATGGTTAAGTCTAACAAATGCGTTAGCAAAGAACAAATAATCAATCCAATTTTAATGAAATCATTTGGAACAATAAAAACATAACTCATAATGGAAACATTTTTTTCGATACTGGATTTATTGAAGCAGGAATTATAACACTTCAAGATATTTTATAACTTTGACCGAACACTACGGGCTCCTTAAAAGTAATAGAATGTGTTAAAAAACCGAATACGGCAATTATGCTGTACTCCATTCACAATAGCGTCACTAAGGTTTAGAAGGAAACCTTTAATTGGGATGTTAACCTTGACTCCCAAATATATTTTAACAAAACTTCAGTCGATAAGTGTTCACCGATACTTTTTAGAGAACATTTGGATACAAAAATCTACCCCACTCCAAAATGTCAGAAAGCGGACTGGAAATCACTTTTTAATAATATTGATTTAAACATGAAATATATATGGTAAAGGGTACCAAACTGCTCAAAAGAGGCACGGTTAATAACACTTTCATGGAAAATCATTCATAATATATACCTAACTAATAAATATTTATATAAAATTGGGAAATCAAATAATAAATACTGTGATACATGCAATACTATTGATGAACTGAACATCTATTCTTTTATTGTACAAAGGTCAATTCCTTATGGAAAGTAGTTGAACATGTCATATATAAGCTGCTGTGCATTAAAATTAATATTACAAGTGATATAGCACTGTTTGGTTTTGAAAATGGCAAAAAATAATGGAAAAAAAACTTTAAATCATTTAATTGTAATATCAGAATTATGTATCAGCAAATTCACGTATGGAACTATTCAAATCTAATCAACTTATAATTTTTTGAATTAAGAATTTGTGGATATTCAGTTCACATTACTCAGTGATGATGTCATGATTCAATGTACACAATGGTGGTGACAAAATATTATTCTATGATATTTACACAATTTAAACTTTGACTATATTGATGGAGTGTTATCTAAATATACTTTAATCGTTAATGACAATAGTCGGACATGATGATAATAAAAATGACAACAAAAAATGTTAATAATTGTAACTGCTGCTGTTGTCATTTTTTGTAATATGTTTCAAGTGTAAATATAATTAATAACATCATGACAGGTAAATGTTGGTAAAAATATCCACATAACATTATTTTTCAATTAAAATAATTAAGTATATACAGTACTGGAAAAGTACTTTGTGATAATGTGTATGGTGATAAGAATGGTGATGATAATGGTAAATATTGCTATTTTTTATTTTGTGATATGTGACATAACATTGTAAATATATTCATACAAACATGCTATTTGTCCTGAATCTTTTGTTCAGTATATATTGGTAATTCGAGATGTGCGTTTTTCTATGTGTACTGCGAATTAAACTTTTTTGGCAATATGGTAATGATATTAAGAATAATTAAAAACAAAAAAATAATAATAAAAAGTACTGTCTTACTGTCAATAATGCAAATGCTAGAAAAAAAATTAAATTAATTAATGATGTTATCAAAATGCCAAATTGTTTTTGTTTTAACAAATTCATTGTGAAAGGAACTCAACATGTTTTTTTTTTCCCTTTCATCAGTTGAGTAACATGATAATGCTAATTTATTTTTATTCTGATGTTTTTTGTAAGTAAAAAATGTTTGGTCTAAGTAAACAAGTGGAAAATAAATGTGGGAGCCTCCCACATGAAAGATAAAAAAAAAACCTTGATTATTTTGGGAAGGCACTATATAAATCATTTATTATTATTATTATTATTATTAACGACACTTGGTATACAGAGCATCAAAATTTAATTCTGTAAATGGCAAGTTCTGTTAAAAATTAAAGACAGAATTCTGGCATCTTAGAAAGGTTTAAGGTGCATATTTGCCCACAATGTCAGGATGCAATGATGCATAACTATTTTTTTATTTGAAGGTTTAATAAAGAACACAACATTACTGAAGTCATAGCCATGACAAGAAGCATTGTGTTGGATGAAACTGATAATACCAAGTGGACAGAAAAGGAAATTGATCACAGTAAGGTTCATCATTTTTTTAACCCAACAAGATTTTGAACAATGGTGTCCATAGGCTAGTATTCTTGGAAGTATATATGAACACCCAGCCCAACATGTTTGATCAGAAATATTCTTCTTATTCTATTTTCTGAATACAAAAAGGTATGTGAAAACGGTTGTGGTTCGAATGCCAGAATCTCAATTTCCTTGCGATAAGCTATTTTTCTTCAGTTGTCTTTCTCCTCCATGGTAGAATGTTGAATATAATATGTCTGTGTGGAAAAGCACTCACTGTGGTTTCTTCTAATGCATTACGTTGTTAAGAATGAGCGCGCCCTTAATTTTCAGTTAAACTTATTTGTTAGCAGACGATGCGATCTTAGTAGCAGACCGAATTCTAGGGCTGCCGGCTGATATAAGCACGTAGTATCTCGGCAGTGTTTACTCAAAATGTACATTAGGCTGGCAATCCGAATGTTATTTAAAATCATTAGAATATGTATATAAATAAAATGATGTACTGTGATTACCAACAAAAAATTATAAAAATGACTTTTAATTGATTTTTCCTTGGCGAAAAAACGTAATATATATTGAATAGCGTCACCAATTCGAAAGTCCACATAAACAAGGCAAAAGCACCACACGTTGTTGATATTTGTGTTAATAAGGCTAATATTACGGATATGTACGAAACAAAAAAAGAATACTCAATTGTGCTTTGTTATTTCCAAGTTGGTTTTATCAAGGCTTCCTGGCTGGTTTTCCTTTAAAAATAGATTAAATATAGGCCTATGTTTGGCAAGTTCTCCAAGCGTGTACTGCGTAGAAATATCCTACTGCATCTCAGACTTTTTTCAATCCATTTTCAACTTTTAGAACATTATTAACATTATAATTATCAGCATTACAACATATTATCTCTACCATATATGTTGTTATCATCATTCATAATGACTATCCACACTATTTTCATTATCAATCATTATACAGTAGGCCTATGATTGATTACTAACTCCAATACATTGCTTAGTCCACTACATGGCAGTATCATAAGCAATATATAACTGCTGTGATGAACCCTTGCATTAACCTCCAATAGTGTCTTAACTCAGTCCATCCTCTTTCATAATAATAATGCATTTATAATGCGCCATCTATCGCCATCTAGGTAAACATATTCCGAGGCGCACACATACATACTAAACATGGAAAATAAAAATAAAACAACATTATAAAAGTACAATGATAAAAACAATTAATGATAAAAGCAACTTGAAATAAATGTGTTTTAAGAGTCTTTTTAAAAACATCAAGCAAACTGCATCTGCGGAGTTCAATTGGTAATGCATTCCGGAGCCTAAGTGCTGCTGCATAGAATGCGAGATCACCGTATGCAGGGGCGGATTTAGGGGGGAGGGGCGTCCCGGCCCTGGGCCCCCCCCTCTTTTGAGAGGTAAAAAAAAAGAAAGAAAAAGAAAAAACGATAGCCCAGAACGCCTCAAATGTTATTTTCAGGCGTCTAAAACACAGCAATTTCGCGGGGGCATGCCCCTGGACCACCTAGGACATTGTTGTCTCAATCTGCCCAAATTTCGTCACCCCTTTCGCCCCCCCCCCCCCCTTTCTGCCTCCTCCTTTTGGACATATCTGGATCCGCCCCTGGTATGAAAATGCAGTCCTAGGTACAGTTAATAGTTTGTCTGCTGATCTTAAAGTGCGTTTGGGGACATGCATAGATAATAGTTCGCGTATATATGTAGGTGACATTTCGTTGAATGATTTCCAGGTGAGCAGCAGCAATTTGAATTGAATTTGTTGGCGAATTGGTAACCAGTGAAGCTGTTTCAATATTGGTGAAATGTGATCAAATTTTCTGGTCCGTGTTAACATGCGAGCAGCTGAATTCTGAACTCGGAGCTTAGTCAGTTGTTGTTCATTAATACCATGTAATAGTGAGTTCTTATTGTCAAGTCGTGAGGTAACTAAAGCATGCACAAGTGTAGCTGCAGTCTTGTCATTCAGAACTTTCCAGATTTTGTTAATATTACTGATATGGAAATATGTTGATTTGCAGATGGTTTTGACGTGAACGTCTATAGACAACATATTGTTGAATACAATTCCAAGGTTACGAGCACTAGGAGAAGCAGGAATCAGTGTTGAAACAGATTGTAAGCAGGTGGTTGTGGATGTGGACTGATGATATTTTGAAGATATGACAATAAACTCTGTTTTATTGTCATTGAGCTTTAGTTTATTAATAGGTCATCCAGACTTTGATATCAGCAATACATAGTTCCATTTGTTTGCGGGCATTAGCTTAATATTCATTACAGTACAGATCAAAGGATGAGTAAAGTTGTTTGTCATCAGCATACATGAACTTTCATTCCGTGATTATGGGCAATACAGTATTGACAATAGGTGTAGAATAGATAGTGAAAAGTTGCGGTCCAAGTACAGAGCCTTGTGGAATCCCAAAACGGAGTGGTATAAAGGATGATAAACAACCATTTATATTAACAAACAAAAAAAGTTATAGTTAATATGATTGGTTTGATTGAACAAAGGTTGCCATGCCTATCTAGACCTATATATCCTTGGAACTGATTAATTCTCCAAATACTCCAAATAACAATCTTAATAATAATAATAATAATAATAATAATAATAATATTAGTAATAGTAATAATGTATAATATAGGCCTGTATATATAATTAATGATATGTGATAATAATTAAATAATAATAATATTAATAATAATAATAATTCTATTATTAATAATAATAATATATTTATTATATAATAATATATATAATAAAATATAATATAGGCCTGTATATATAATAATAATATATGATAATAATTAAATAATAATACTATTAATAATAATAATACTATTAATAATATTAATAATAATAATAATAATAATAATAATCTTGTTATTAAAAAATAAATACAGCAAGATCGTATGTAATTAATTACCAATTCCAGGTACCAATTAATCTCATGTTCTATGCTGTATACATAGGCTAGCGAAACCATGCCCTGTTGAAAATACTGAATTTAGGCCCCAACATTGTTGTCATTAAAAGAAAAGATTCAGCAGGGAAGCTTTGATAATTACAACTGTGATGGTTTTTATGATGATTAAGGATCACACTAGTATCAACATATTATATGGGGAATTACATTTAACAGCAAAATCAGATAATAAAAATGTTCTGTCTACCTTTTTAACCTAAAAATGCCCAAAAATTGGAGTTTTGGGGGAAAAAATTTGGATTACCCTTTCTCCCACATCATTTCAAGCTCCAGTCAATTTTGCGTGATAAACAGGTGCCTGGTTACGTCATCTAATAATAATAATTCATGATTTTTTCATTGAAACCTGTAAAAACTAATTTCTATTGGCTGTATTCCGTGACATATTTTTACAGATTTTTTTCTGTAAACGCTCAACGTGGTTTACTTCCGTGTGGTTGCTCGTTTGTGCTCAACAGCGTGACGGAATGGAATTGAGGGAGCGCTACTTAATTTATAACTTAGAAATCACAGTGCACTCTAGGAATACTCAGAGATTGGAAATAGTTTATTTACCTGTTTGCCAATATTATGTATTGTAATAATGTTGCAAGCATTTTAAAGTTATTAATTTGTCAACTTTACATTTGAATTCTGCAACCCAGTCACCCAGTAGTATTTTCAGGGAGGTGCTGTAACAGTTTGTACAGTATTTAATTGTCTAATTGTGAATACATCACAATTGATGATTTATGTAATTTTTGCCTTAATTTTATTGTTACTTTCATTCTAATATAAAAACTAATCTCCTTTTAACAGAAGATGAAATCAAAGACCAGCATGAAAATGCGCTTGCATCAAAAGCAGCAGAGGATCTACAAAAAATAGTAAGTTGCAAACAAACTAGCAAGATAATTCAAATCAGAAATGGATTAATATAGACAAACAAAAATTGCAAACTTACCACCTAGATTTTAACATGGGTAAAGGAATTAAGACTTAACTGCAATTTGGTATGGAAAAAGAATTACACATTAACAGATCTAGGATCTACAAAAAATAGTAAGTTGCAAGCAAGATAATTCAAATCAGAAATGGATTAATATAGACAAAAAAAAATTTGCAAACTTACCACCTAGATTTTAACATGGGTAAAGGAATTAAGACTTAACTGGAATTTGGTATGGAAAAAGAATTACACATTAACGTACAAATTTTAATTGACAAGTAGGATTATGGGCATTGGAATGTTGCGTGCACCAATTTCATGATTGAAACCCCAAAATGGATTTACTCAGCCGTGTTCATCATATAAAACTTTAAAAAAATATCCTGAAACTATGCTCTAAAAAGATGCTATTACAATCTGGGGTGGATACTGGTGGGGGAGGGGGTGGAAAACAGTGGCGTATCTAGCAGTATTAAAATGGTGGGGGGGGGCGCGACCAAAATATGAGGGGGCGTGGAATTTATTTTCGGTGGCCACGCCCCACTGAAAAATATTGCTTCTTAGATTTCTGAATATACGTTAACCGTGACAGCATAAGCATAAGCCTAGCCTAATTTTTTTTGCTTCAAAGTTTTTGAATGGGGGGGGGGGCAAGCTTTTTGTGGGTCGGCGTATTCCCCCCCCCCCTTTGGATATGCCACTGCTGGAAAAGGGGGTGCAGATGGTGCAATTGCACCCCTCTAAATTGTATTAAGAATTGATTGTTTTATTATATTGTTGACATGAATTATTGGTAAGATTTTTAAGGCATTAGAGTGCAATTTCCGGGCACCCAGAGGTCCATGGTGTGGACTCTCATGCACCCATGAGCGGAGATCACGGGGGAAGGAGACACGTCCTCCTCTATATATTTTTAAGGGAGGGGGTTGGTCCTTCTCACCCTTCGTCCACAATGCAATTTCAAGAAGATGACTGAAAATTGTTGAAATAAACTGCATAAATGATCAGGTTTTAACGAAAAAACGCTGCACAGCCAGAGTAGAGTACATCTTATTTTATAACAACATACAGTATCTTTGCCCACAAACATATAAATTACCTATAATACACGACTCGAGTGCGCATGCCTTTATTGTAATTCGAGAAGTATAAGAGAAAGCGTGCAAAGATAAGATTGGTTTTTGGCACATTTTCTTTCTCTATGGGTTAAGTAAATACATGAAAGACAATTTAGTTTAATTTTTTGTGGTACATCACAACGATTAGTAATTAGATCGATTATGATGAATTTTACTGTATAAGATTGTCATGTCCGGCAATCTAGGGGTACTATTTCCCCAAATGATGTAACCTCAGCCCCAACTATGGTGGGGCTGAGGTGGATGTTAAGGTGAATGTGGACTCACAGGTTTGAAGTAGATACATCAAAGACAATGTTTTAAAGTTTTTTTTTCTATAGTACCATACATAAAACATTAAATTAAATCTCTGTGGTTGCTGAAAATAGCTGATAAAAAAACATGATAATATGTTGGTTCTTCATTTTAACCAAACAATGGTGATGTGATGATGACGAATTTTACTATTTAAAAATGTCATTTCCGGCCATCTAGATCTATTTACTCAACTTTTCTCACCTCAGCCTCAACCATGGCAGGGGCAGATCCACAGATGTCCAAATGGCGGGGCTGAAAGGGGGAAGGGGTGAAATTTGGGCCGATCGAAACACTGAAATAGGAGGTCATGGGCATGCCCCCGCAAAATTTCTGTGTTTTAGACCCCTGAAAATAACATTTGAGGCGTTCTAGGCTATCGTTTTTTCCTTTTCTTTCTTTTTTTCTTCTTTTTTTCACCTCTCAAAAGGGGGTGGGGGCCCTAAATCCGCCCCTGCATGGTGGGGCTGAGGTGGTTGTAAACTCACATCTTTGAAGTATGTCGGTCCTACAAAACACATCAAAGGCAATTTTTAAGTTTTATTTTGATCACACGTGTTAATTAGGTCTCTGTGGTTGCTGAAAATCGCTGATAACATATCATGAGAATTCTTTGGCACTAATTTGACTAATCAACGGTGATTTGATGATGATGAATTTTACTATAAAAAGTGTCATTCACTATTTCCACGAAACGTCCCCCACCTTTCAAAACAGAGCTGCGCCCATGCACGAACCCCCTACCGCCAAATGCTACATCCGCCCATGTTAATCTTATTAAGGGTATGTTTACACACACGGCGCAAGGTTGGTGTAAGCCTGGTGTAGTGTACGCCTTTGTGTGCAAACTATGCCACTTAAAACGCCACCTCCGTGGCATTATTAACGCTACCTGCAGACCCCAGATTAGCTAATGCCACGGAGCTAACGCCAGTGACGCTTGAATGATTTGACCTCATTTCAAGAGATTGACCAATCACTATTCCAATAGGTTAGTCCCTTTGATCTCTTTCCTGTGCTCTCTATAAATGAAATGGTAAAGGGCTTTTCTTTTTCTATTGCATTTTACTTAGTTATAATGTATATGATTTGTTGAATGTGTTTTGTAAGATATTTTAACCTATTTAGACTGTCTATTAAAAACCAGCAACACTAACAATTGTTATGCTAGCTGAAAAATCAGAAGTAAAATTGTTCATTTAAAATACAATAATCATATAAGTTCACTTCGAACAATTCACAGATTTAAAAGTTTTAATGATGCCCTGTGAATATTTTACTACAGTTAAGAACCCGTACATTATTTAAAACTGAAAACTATTCCCCCATAGGCCTATATTACTACTAGTTTAACACCAGCGTTAATATAGCAAATGCTGTTTGTGTGAACACTTTGGAATTTTAATCTGTTGATTAGCTTATGCCTACGTAAGCTACTCCAGGCTTACGCCGTATGTGTGAACATACCCTAAGCTATTAAATATCAGAATATATATGACGGAATAATCAATTCTTCATTATTTTTTTTTTGTAGGAAGTGTTATCAAGTCCAGAATACACAGGTATGATTTTGTATTAACAAAAACTATGTTTATATTACAATTGATTTTAAACCATTTTTTGATCAATTTTCTAATATTTGTCATTCATCATGTAAGTCCTATCAGTCACAAAACATGTAACTTATTCCTATGTAATTTTTTAAAAAGAAAATCAACAATTTGATCAACTATAATATATGTTTGCAATGATAACGATAGAAAGTTAAAAAGCAATTGTTCATATAGAAAATAAGAGAATTTTACCCTAGTACAGTAACATAACAATTTATCGTGTATACCATAACAAAATATTTTGACAAATCGATTCAAATGACATCATAATCATTGAAAAACGATAAGATTGTTGTTACTACTACGATTTTATCGTTTCTCCATGATTGTTACGTCATTTGAATTGATTTGTCAAAATATTTTATTATCGAATACACGATAAATCGTCATTGAATCGTCATAGTGTAAAATCTTCTTATTTTTAAAATTTTCTATATGGACAATTGCTTTTTAGTGTTTTATTGTTATCGTTGCAAGTATAAACAGGCCTTTGTTCACTATTTATTGTCTTGACAAATTTTTAATTGCATTTAAAAAACATAAAAAAAATATTCAGTCAAAATATTAAATTTCAGAATGATCTAATCAAAATTTCTGTTTTTCTATGATATAATGGAATCCTGTACATAAATTGATTACCTACAATAAAATCTGTTAATTCTAGTGGACAATATTGAATTTTACTCTTTCATTTTATAATCTTAACACACAAATAATAAAAAATCAAAAATTTAACAATATTAACAACATAAAAAATCAAGACAAGTGAAATCAGAATAAATCATTTGCTGTCATACACAGGTTTTTCTACTCTCAAACATAAAAATGTAAATCATAAGAAAACACTGAAATATTTAGTTCATGCTTGCAACCTTGAGGTCAGTGGTTTGAACCCCAGATTTTCAATTTTTTTGCAGTATGCTATTTTTCTTCTGTTGCCTTTCTCCACCATGGTAGGATATTGAATGTAATTGTCTATGTGCAACAGCATTCTATAAATACTTCTCAGGGAGTGGAAATAGTTGGATATTTTACATGTTTGCCAATATTATTATATTGATCAAGGGTAATAATGTTGAAAGCATTTAAAATTGAATTGAAAGTAGTTAATTTCATTTGTCAACTTCATATTTTCGACCCAGTAGAACAGCAGTATTTCAGGGAGGTGCTGTAACAGTTTGTGCAGTATTTAATTGTTGTCTATTCCATAAATACATTACAGTTGATTTGTGTAAATTTTTACATTAATTTTATTGTTACTTTCATCTTAATAATATAAAAACTACTCTCCTTTAACAGAAGATGAGTTTAAAGACAAGCATGAAAATGCTCTTGCATCAAATGCAGCAGAGGGTTTACAAAAAATAGTAAGTTGCAAACAAACCAACAAGTTATTCAAATCAGAAATGGATTTATATACACAAAAAGAAAGTTGCAAACTTACCATTTAGAATTTAACATGGGAAAATGATCTAGGACAAAAAGTTGAAGAGTTAACTGCAAGCAGGCATTGAAAAAGAATTACATGTTAAATGTATGTGGGCTAGAGTATTCACTTTTTTTTATTAATGAATTATTAAATTGTAGTAAAGAGAAAAAATTGTTGACACAAATTTTAAATAGTAAGTAGGAGTGAGGGCATTGCCTTGTGCACCGATTCTGTGATTGAAGTCCCAAAACTGTTTTCCACAGTCATGTTTTTATCAAATGAAACATGAAACAATATTTTGAAACTGCTAAATAGCCCAACAGTTGCATAACACAAGATGCTAATTACAATCTTATGTTATTAAAAATCAGAATATATATGACAGAAATAACCAGTTTTTTAATATTTCTTCTTTTTTTTTGTGTGTAGGAAGTCGTGTCAAGTCCGGAATACGCAGGTATGATTTTATTAGCAAAAAAACTTACTGTATGTTTCTATTAAAATTAACTTAAACCTGTAATTTTAGGAAATTTCTATTATTTTTTCTTTATCGTGTAAGTCCTTCCAGTCACAAATATTCCTATGGGATTTTTTAAAAGAAAATCAACAAGTTATTAATATAACAACTATATGTTTCTTGTATTACAGAAAAAGTCTACTGAGGATGCAGTCTTGTTATTGTATCATAACGTTATAAATTTAGATAAACCAAACAGATATGCTATTCTTGGATTTTAGGTCTGCTTTCACTCCAGTTTCACCACTCAAGTTGTATAAAAAATTAATCAATCTCAATTTTAACACTGCTATTGTAAACTGGCTGTTTTACTTTTTGACAAATAGATCACAATTACTTAAGATATGTAATTCCGAATCAAGTAAAGCTAAATTCATTACCGGTGTGCGACAAGGGTTTGTTTTAATAATAAAGAATCTAAATCTGATATAAGTTCATCTTTCATTTCTTAATCTCCATATTTAACATTTGTATTATTTTTAGACTGGTTTCAAAGTGCATTTTTATTTGTTTACTCTGTTTGCAGACATGCAAACTTGTTTGTGTATTTTTATATATTTGGCAAAACAGCCACAAATTATAACAAATCAAAAGGTATATAAACAACTTGAAAAATCAAGACGAAGCAGAATAAACAACTGTCATTGCTGTCATACACAAGTTTTGCTGCTCTGAAACATAAAAATGTAAATACTAAGAAAACGCTAAAATAGCAAAACATAAAATAACTTCACCTATATCAATATTAGACTGGTTGTCATTATTATTATTAAATTTTTTCAAAAAGAAAAAAAAATTAAATGTTTGATCAACTTAAATTTTTACTGCATGCTGGCATGACAGCTCACACATTGCTACCGTAATACTACTTGGTTAAGTCCAAAAGCACCGAACCAGTTTAATATGATGATTGTTATTTTGTTTTTAGAAGGACCAAGTGATGATAAAAACAGAAAACCTCAGAAGGATGGTATGTAATACACTTCATTAGAAGTTCTACATTTCATTTCATTGAGGATGTGTCCTTCCACTACTGGAGTATATCTCCTCTAAATTCTAGCCTTGTTCCGATGGTGTAAGTTACACTGGTGATCGTAGTTATCGAACACGCGCTTGTTATGAGGCTGACACCGACCGTATGAATAATTTATATTATTACCATTCGTTGTAAACTTCATATAAATTTTCATGGTTTTTTTTTTTTTGGAAATCCGCAAAATACCGTGGTAGTTCGTTCGCTGTATCTAAAGATACGGCTGAACGAGATACAGTGAATGCCGATGAGATAATGTACGTACATGATTTTGAATTTACAGCTAATACGGAAGCCTTATCTTTAGCCACTGCAATTCACACATTCTAGCAAGAAGAACCACGAACAACGTTCGTACTTGCATACTAAATTTAAAGGCTCGGGTTCTAAATGCTGCCGAAAATCTCCTAAATGTTAATAGGTAGGCTTAGGGTAGGGGAGAAAAAAGTGAGCTGTTTGATAGTTGAGAGTAAGCTGTCAATGTTCCAGAGGGAGCTGTCAACAGCTCCATAAACTTAACTTTAATTAGTTTTAAGAATGTCCATTGGGAGTTAACAAGAGAGTCCTGGCCAGCAACATAGCCATTGGAATGTAAATAAGGAACCCATTACAATCACTCACTTCGTCTCACTGGCAATAAATAATTTAAGAACCCATCGCTATTCAACAAACCAGCAGGATTTATAACCCGTGTTTTTTCCAAAAGTCGGGTGCCATGGACCATTTCTGTTAACGGCCAAAATGCAGCATGTTATATTTCGCTTTTTCGGAATGCTCTACCAAGTAAAGATGAAAAAATTGGATGTTAAACATATTTTTCCTTTTATTTGTCGATAGTTAAGATGGCCTACCCAAATCAAAGCAGGCCTAGCCCAGGCAGGCCCTCACCTAATGACCTAATGTAATTTCTGTTTTGTCGTTTTGTTTTACTAAAACATCATCATGAGGTCAATAGAAATAATTTTTATCTTCAACTTTTTTATATCAGTGTATAAGCACTATAATTATCCGCTATAACTCTCGTGTAGACATACGATAAAATTTCATACGACCTTAACTGGATTTCTCATTAACTTTCCAGTGATGGTATGTTTTTATTTATCAAGGCAAATAACTTCTTGTTTATACAGTAAAAATACAGTAAAAATATAAAATGTTGTCTTTGATTAATTTGTATACTGTAACTATTTAACAGAAGACCACTTTGTTAACATACCAGATTGCAAATGTAAGCATACAAACCATTTATTGATTTTTATATCACAAAGGCCTGTAAAAACATTCCCAAAAAAGTCCAAGACATTTTGAGATTCAAATTTTCAATCTATTTGATCATTATGAAGAATGCATAGGTTTTTGTGTATGCGCCAGAGTGAGGCTCTCTACCTCTGTATTGTGTATCTGCCTAGCTGTCTCTTTCTGCTAAATGTATTCAATATACTCATACTCATAGTAATGCTGAATATTATTTCTTGTATCTTTAAATTTAAACTTTATCTTTTGTTTGAATATTCTAATATGATTATCAGCTACCCAAATTATGGGAAGAGTATAGCTGTTCTTTGGTTTTCAGGGGAGGGCAGAAAAAATATGTTAAAAATACTTTGTTTTCCTTATTTGGAAAATGGTTCTACCAAAAGCATCAAGGCAGAGGAGATGATAAAAACTAAATTTAATTGAACAATATGTGAGTGTGTGAGATAAATCAGATAGAGGGTGCCCTTAGATCTGCTCAAAATCTTATGACCTGGTCGTAAATAATGCATTGTAAACACTTTAGTTACATTTTATTCATTCCAAATTTTTACATAAGAAAATGTTGTTTCAGATGTATCTGCTGTTGAAAAAACAAAACGAAGGGAAACAGATACCAGTACCAATGATGGAACATCTAAAGTAATATCAAATTTCATTTTTGATAATTTATTTAAAATAATGATTGTATAGATGTTAATGATTGGTCGTAGTAGTCTTATTGATTTTGTTAGGAAATATTTGTTTATTTTAATATTTGGTTATTCCTAGTAATTTTAATTTAATGTTTTCAAAGTAGCACAATTATTACCAGTACAAATGATATTACACCTCAAGTAATATTTCATTTTATTTTTGATATTTTAAGAATTTGCTTAAAAGTTTGAATGGTGAATTTACGCCATGTAAATAGTTCTGAAAAGAAGAGACTGTTTTCAGTTGAGAATGTTTCACATTTCGATTGAGGTGCTACAAACGTTTTCAGAAGAATTATACTTACAATGATAAAGATAAAATCTAAATAGCAAGTATTCATATAGAAAATAAAAGAAATGAGAAAAGTTTTTACACTAGGACGATTGATAATGACTTATCATGTATATGATAACAAAATATTTTGACAAATCAATCCTTTTTTGTTATTGTTGCAAGTATAAACAGGCATATATTTGTAGAGGGTCCAAACAAGGAAATACTTATATGATTGAAAAGTGAGACTTGCTGCTGATTGGTAGAAAAACTAAACAAAAGCTAAGACTATTTCCATGTAAGGTGTTCAGTATTAACCAGATTAATAATTTCATTTCAGGAAACTGCATCAGCATCACCAGTGGAAGGTATGATGAAGTAAACAAACCTTTACAACTCTTTAAGAAAATTAATTTAAGCATCCTTAGATCGTTTATTTTCAAAATCACTGACTGTTTTGTGAAAACAAAATAAAGAGCTAATGCTGTTGTCATATATAGCAAGATTGCTTTAGTGTTTACCTTTATTGTTAGTGTAAGTATTAATATTATCATAACTTAAGCTTGAACTTGAAGTCGAATTCAAAATGCTATTGAAATAATATTGTTTGACTTAAGCTTTGTCTCCACTCCACAAAAAAATGTGATGTGCCCATATGTGGGTACGATGACGTTATATCATATATTATCGAATTGTATCAAAATTGTTTTCAACTTTATATTCCATCAAGTTTTATGCGAAGCTTTTTTTGATGAAATTTGTGAGTGTAGACAAAGCTTTACAGATTGTTAATTAATGGAAAACACAACAAATTGGCATGTAAAAGAAGATCGACGTAGAAGTTATTCAATTTAGGCACAGTTGAATTTAATACGCGAGTTTAATGGTATTGCCGGTATTATTTCATTTGGCTTTAGGCACTATGGCCAAGAACATGCTAAACAGTCCTGTTATTGTGACAGGTATTAAACCCAGAATCATAGGCAAGCATTTTAACCGCCAAGCAAGTCCTCAAGTCCACTCAAGTTTCTGAATAGTTATTATTATTGTTATTTTTATTTTGATGTTGGTTGGGCAAAACATTATCATTGATTTTATTATCATCATTAATAATAATAATAATAATAAAAGTAATAATAATAATAATAATATATTATTATTATTATTATTATTATTATTATTATTATTGTTATTATTATTATTATAGATGGTAATGTCATGATTAATAGTGATGGTAATTATATTGATGATGAGGGTAATGATAATGGGCACATTGATGAAGGTGATTGGAGTTGTAATGATTAATAGTAGTGATGAAATGATGAGAGTGATAATGAGGATTCAATGAAGAATATGAATGGTGATTGTAAAGATGCTGATGTTGATGGTGGTGGTGAAGATGAGTTAATAATGATGTTAGTGATTATAATATTTAATGGGGATGATGTTAATAATACTAAAGATGCTTTTTATTGGTGGTGATACCAAATGTTAAATTTACACAATGCATTTCTTTATTTTAATATCCAAAACTTAATTTAAAATTTTTCTTTGAAGATTCACAGTTGAAAAGGATAGATGCCAGTGTGTTAACAAAGATTGTACAAGTAATGAAAGGTGAATCTATAATGGATAATTCATTACGGATATGGGACTACGGAGGTCAACTAATCTACCACAGTATTCACAGGGTATGTTTCTATGCATAATGGTCATAAATTAAGGTGTGGGAGGTTTCAAATCAACTTAACCCTTGTTTTCTGTTAACATATGTTGTGTTGTTGAAATATAATAATTTGAAGTAACAGTTAAACTAATCGGGAAAATGTTGTATTTTAAATTTAAATTGTTCAAATAATAATTGGAAATAATTGTTGTAGTATGTTCAGTAATAGTAAATGTATATAAAAGCATAAAATGTACTCATATGTTACAAAATACATTTGACTTAATTATCAACAGACTACTGTATCGCCAGCTTAGTACCATTTTATTATGGTAATGATCCATCGTATACTGTAATTTAGTTGCAGAATTTAAATAAGAAGTATAGTTTTAAAAAAAGAATAGCTAAATTACATTATAAACTTTAACCATTTATACAGCAGGAGGAATATCTTTTGCCTATTTTTTAATTAGGGCTAATTTTATGGGAGGGCGGTGTGCAAATCAAATTTTGCCGCATACTGATGTTTTTTGTCTTAAAACTTGCTCCATCTTGCATGAAGTAGATATTTGTTTAGAAGAAAGAATCATGAATCATCAGATCAGATATTGTGTGGAACAATATTTTGTAGCATCCTGTTTCCCGACCACCAAGGGTAGGATTATAGTGGGAAAGAAGCCAGCCAATCAGAATATTAATTCTGACATTGTATATGTCGTAATTGCAAGAAAAATCAAGTCAATTTAACAATAATTTGAATATTTTATTAAGTGCTCTTACACATGTAGTGTCACGATCATGACAAATGTTGATATTGGAGTTTTTTGAACTTTGTGTAAGAATTGTAAAAATCATAAGAAATTCTGACTCTGCCAAGTCTCTAGTAAACATCATTTAGAAACTAGCCAACACCACCTATAATATCATTTCAATTGCCAGCTTAGCGCTCGAATGCAACATTTTCTTCCACCGGTATCATGAACACTTACATGTGGTGGTGTGGTCAGCCAGTAGCATAGGGATGGGCAGCACACTGATGCCTAGGGCTAATAAGGGCCCACTTTAAATAGGTCAACTTCATATTGTTGAAGAAAAAGCTACCAATGGGCCCTCAATAATATATTTTTTAGAGTAGCAATTATTGAATACTATGTTCATTGTTTACTTTTACAGGGCAACAGTTTTCTTGTTTAGTTTTCCAAATACTGTAACTACTGCAACCGCATAGGCCCCTCTTGAAATAATTAGCAGGTTCCGACAATCATTATTATTTATTACTAACCTAGGGGTAGTGGTAAAAAGAAAAAAAGCATGTCTTACAATAAATTTCATGTAAATTTGGTATAATTAGGGCCTATACCTAGTCCTATCATTTTCATTCTCTAAATTCAATAATATGGATCCAGACAATTAAAATTTCGGGATTCATCTACGCACCAAGGAAAATTAATGGCTCCCGGTATCCTAGCCATAACTCTGGCCTACGGCCTTTGGATAATCTTGCTGTGGGGCCAGTTCTCACCTGCCGATGCTGTAACCAAATCAATTTAAGATAAAAAATACACACTGAAAAGCTGCTAATGATACACAGTAGTATTAATAATAGCTACAAACAATAATGATAATAATGTAATTATTGAAATAATGATGCAGTGGTAATAATATACTGTACAAATGTTTATTGGGTTGAGGGGTATGGCACTATGACCAGATTAAAATTTAAAAGTAATATTTGTTTTATATACCACTATAATTCCTCGTGTTTTAGTCATGAAGAGCGCTAGGAGGCCTAGACCAGAGCTAGTTAGAACTTCGCTTCATCAAGGCCTGCATTTGATAACTTGTTAACTTTTGTATTATCACTGCCTGCTGAACTCGCTCACATTTCTCATGCTCATCAACCAGTTTAAATCTGGAACATTCTTCCATTGTTATTCCATAGAGAAAATAGAACTAGCAACAGAGCAATCATCATCAGCTGCTTCCAGGTCACCAAATTAGGTTAAATTTGATTAAGTCAGTAGAACACTCCCTCAAATTTTCTTCATCGCGAATTGTGAAAGGGCAAAACAAAAGACTACTCCTGGCTAGCTGGGTGTGGCTGAAGTTATTGCCTGGCTTTTAACCAATCAAATGCCTGGAATCTATTTAGTCGCTTTATAACAACTAATGTACAATAATAATAGCTATTGTAGTACTGTATATCGTCGCTCACATCACAAACTAACACAATCAAAGTAGATTGTGTTAGTTCATGTAATCAAGAAAGCGCGTCAAAATACGCGATGTTGTTAAGGACTTTTTGTGTGGTAAAGAATACAATATTACTTGACAACTAATATGCGCTCGTTTTGACGTGCTACTGTGATTTCACGAACTAACACAATATACTTTAATTGTGTTAGTTTGTGATGTGAACGACGATATATAAGAATGATAAATTAGTACTAATTCCTATTATAGTTCATGTTGATTATTACAGTTAATGTTAGTATGCTAGTAATCTGGGACAGATTGATGTTATTGTTATTGTTGTTTCATTATTTTCTTAATGTTTGAATGTTGTAAAGTTCATTTATCAATTTAGCTCAAAATCTATCTCTATAGATTGTATTCCTCTTATGTAATTACTGTGTTTTAATTTCTGTCTTTACTAGTTGTACATAACACCTGAAAGTATCTTTGTGATTGTTTTTAACATGGTTGATAATCTTGACGAATACGCACAAGTTGTAGATTCATATGGGGTAAGTGCTTTCTGAATTTTATTAAATATTTTTATGACTAGTATTAATATTAGTAATAGTCACAATGGTCTACATTTATTTTTTTTCTTTTTGTTCATGATTATTTTGTAGTTGATCTACATGAAAGCCATCTAAATTCTCATACAAATGTTTAATCATTAAAATGTTATAAATTTGTTATAAAAAATTGTTGTGACTGCACTGGTTTCATCTCTCCCACTGTTCTACATATATCCTAAAACTGCAGTAGTTCCTTGTAGTTAATTTAGTTACTATAATCGTCGTTGTAAGTTTTGTTAATTTTTTTGCAGAAAAAACGCACATGCTACATGACAAATCTAGAGTATTTGTTATATTTCATCCGGTCAGCTTACACATACACAAAGGACAAAGCCTGTGTTACTGATCCAAATATAAAGTTCCCAGTATTCATCATTGTTGGTACCCATTGCAAATCACTGACTGAAATTGAAGTAAGCAATTTTATAGATCTTAGTTTGAACATGTTGTCTTAGGATCTGTTTGTACTGATGAGAAAAAAAAGGTTCTTTTTTTGTGGTGGAAACGGTGCTCACAAATAGAACTGTTCTTTTTGGCATCCCGAAGAAAGGTTCTCTGGTACTGAATTAATACTGTACCGGGAACAGGAAAGAATCATTCGTACAAAAGAACTGTACTTCCTGGGGTAGTTTTTAGCTGCAAATAATGTCGACTACATCCAATGCTAAGCGATCGTTGTTGATTGAGAGGTACACATTCAGCTTAAATACTGTCACCAAGTCATTTATTGCAATTTCTGTGTGTAATATTGGACATACTTACTGTAAATGTACTACAGTAACAATATTTTTTTGCAAATTGTAGTGTGATAATTGTATTGCTTTATGTAGGTTAAAGAGAAGTTGGACAAAATTCGCAGGGCAATTGGAAACCAAGTGTACAAAACCCATGTCTATGAGAAATATTTTGCTGTCGAGAACAAACTCTCAGCTTCAGATGAAAATATTGTTCAAATCAAGAAAGTAATTCTTGAAATGAAGGAGAAGATGAGGAGACCTATCCCACTCAAGTGGCTAAATTTGTTGATTGCAATACAGAATTTAAGTGAAGTGACTCTCCCTTTGGAGCAGGTATGTATTATCCTAATGTTCTGTTTTAGATACACAATAGACATCCCCCCCCCACACCCAGTGCCATCACTGGTTACTAGCACTATCTGGTAAGATCAAAGTGTATATTTTCATCAACCGCCGAGGGATGTTGATTGCAATAAAAAGTGTATATTGATTGACCATATCCGGTTCTTGTTGATAAGGTCAGTTATTAATCGCATGTGTGCATTAGCTGCCAGGGAGAGGAACAATTTGCTTTAGTATGCACACTGACACTCTTGTGCTCTTCAATGCAACAAATAAATTGTGATTGAGGAACTTTAATAGCTGCTTATTAGGTAGGTCTAATGCCGTTGTACATTAGTCAAAGAGATAAAACTATCATGCAAACACTATGTTTTGTTTGTCTATTACCTTCTTGTTTTGCTTTGTTTATCTAGAAATTAGTTGTTTTTTTTAATGCACCATGCTTTGACGCGTGCCACTGATATAAAAGTGTACGTTTCAATAAATATTATTCTGAATTATTTTAGCATGTCTTGTATTTTCAACATTTTTATCGGAATGTATAACAGCAGCTTTGAACTTTTTTCATACAATACACAAAACACCAGACACTATATCAATTTTGTGTCTGGATATAGGAAAGTTTATGAAAATGATGGTGTCATGACATTTCAGCTCACTAATTCATATTTTCTAATTTTATGAAGGTTAAATCAATGGCAAGGGAATATGGAATTTCAGATGAGCATATTGATGTTGCAATCACATACTTAAGTGATGTTGGTGAAATCATGTATCACCCAATGGAAGAAGCATTAAAGAACTTAGTGGTGATTCAACCGATGGAGATTGTTAAGTATTTCAGGACTGTGTTCACCATCCAAGAGGAACAACAATGGGTAAGATTATGTTATATTATCTACTCGAATTATTCCAAACATTACAAACCTTTTTTTGGAAAGACGTGTTATATTCATGGGCATTGTATAACAAAATGTTTAAGAGTAATATTAGAAATGAAATAGAAGTACAAACACAATGTCTATGGAATAATGATGATATAATTGTTGATAATAAGCCTATCATGTATATGAAACTCTTCAAAAAAGGAATAGTTTTTGTTAATGATATAATTCATAGAAACGGTAGATTTTATACACTAGAAGAGTTGAATGATACTTCCTCTGTCGATATATCATTTCTAGTGTATGAAGGAATTAAACAGGCAGTGAGGTCATATATGAGCAAGCATAATATAAGAAAATTCACAAGCGCCCAATGCTATCCAATTTACCCTAATAATATAATTCAATTACAAATTTCTAGAAAGGGATGCAACTTTTTTTACCATACTCTGCTCAATTCAAAATTTACTAAGTTGCCGTGTAATTCCAAATGGTAAAAAAAAAAGGCATTGAGTTTACTGACAAACAGTGGGAAGTGTTTAATATAATACCAATCAAATACACAGAGAGTACGGATCTGAAATGGTTGCAGTATAGAATTATACATAATATATTACCAACGAGAGAA